ATCCAGAAGTGCTGGAGCATCACCAAAATCCCTCTCCAGGGGCTGGGACAGGCAAGGTGCCAGGCTGCCCAGGGGACAGTGGTGGTCCTCTCTCCTAGGGTACAGCCCCTATTTCCTCCCAGAGTTTCTGGTTTTCAGAGTTCTGCCACTAAACCCCATGACTGAGACAGGAGAAGGGACAAACCTGCCAAGGGCACTACTAATCCAGCAGGGTTTGCCACACCCCACAAGGACAAAACGCCACCCTAAAAATAACAATCAACAGCCCATTAGAGTTAAATTTCGCATCTTAACTTCTAATAAATTAAACTCTTAATTTCCAACAGATCCCTGAGGCATCTGTGCAACCTCCTGGCTCCAGCATCGCCGGGACTGCTGCGGGCAGGTGCCACCTGAGGGAGACAAACCCCTTACAAACCCTTCCCTGGACAGAGAGCCCTGAGGGAGACAAACCCCTTACAAACCCTTCCCTGGACACGGAGCCCTGAGGGAGACAAACCCCTTACAAACCCTTCCCTGGACACGGAGCCCTCAGGGAGACAAACCCCTTACAAACCCTTCCCTGGACAAGGAGCACCGAGGGAGACAAACCCCTTACAAACCTTCCCTGGACACGGAGCCCTGCTGGCCACAGCCTCCCCTCTCAGCAAACCCCATCCATCCTCACCACTTGGTGCAGTCCCGAGCAAGGGCCCCACAGGCTGGCTCTGCAAAATTAACCCCATCTCCCACCTCTCCATTTCTGGGGAAACGCTGCTGTCCTCCCCAGGGAGGATCACAGGGGTCCAGGGGAAGTGAAAACTGCAAAGAGCCCTGGAATTCCCTTCCAATCCTCCTCTCTTGAGCTCCCTGGCACACAAAAAACTAAATAGATGTTTCTGTGGTTTCTGGGCACTCAAGGGGAACCAGGCCAGGGCATGTGGTGGCAAAGACAAGCAGGGGGTTTTTCTAACACAATCATTCAGGAAAAAAAAGAAAAAAAAAAAACAGGAAAAAAAAAAAAAAGGAAAAAAAAAAAAAGCGAAAAAAGGGCATCAACTACATCAACCACAGGAAGGAGAAGGCTAAGAAAAGCCAATTCACCCCTTCCAGAGCAACAGGCACTGCAGAGCTCACTGCATCAATTCAAAAAGCAGGAGCAGAGATGGAAGCTCTCTCTCCATGCCACGTACAAGGAGAATTTACGGTGTTTTTTGCCAACCCCTTAGACCAAGTTTGTGCTTGGGAGAGGCTCCCTGATGAGCTGCTGAGCCCCTCGGAGCTGGAGCACTGTGGCCACCCAAGGGCATTGATGAGAGACAGGGGAACCAGCCTGAGGCTGAGGTTTGGGATCGGGCCAGAACAAGAACTCCCTCCTCCTGCACATCCAGCAGGACAGCTCTGCACCCACAGATAAATTTTTGGATATGGGTAAATGAGGATCTACCTCAACACCTGAAGCTCTTTCACCAGTATCCCCTCTTCGAGTTCTAAGTGGGACAAACCCAAAGCCTTCACTCACTTTGCAGTCCAGTGAACTCTTAAACAAGAACACGAATACAACCATGAAAGGGCTCAAGTATTTCATCCCTGTAAACACTAAGGGAGATTATTGCTCAAGCTTTTAAGTTTTAGGGCTGAATCCCTCAAAAGCTATTGCTAATGAAGAAAGAGAGGAGGGAAGTTAAAAAAAGCAGCTTAAAACAGGCAGGGAAAATCAAGCGTCATGGAAAATGCTGAAGAGGACAACAGAGCGCAGATTAGAAAAGAATAAAACTCAAAGGAGCAGTGGAGTTACCGGGTAACCATCACGTCCTGACTGCCCCTGTGGGGGGAACAAGGGAGATGAGTCAGTCAGTGCATCTGGAGCAGCTCGACATCACATAGCAGCAGGAGGGCCACCAGCTCTCCAGGCAGCCCTGCCACTAAACTGGACAAACCTCTTGGGGCAACTTTCCTATCAGAGGGGTCACACCTACAGTGTATTTTCCCTGGATTTCCCTGGATTGTGATCTCCTGCTCCCCTTTGGCTACTTACCACGGTTTTGCCAACTTGCTCCCATCCCTGCTGCCTGTGCCCAGCTCTGCTGGCCCTGGAGCCACAGACATGGCACATGCTGGGTCCTGGCCATAAACCTGCCCTGGGATGGGGGTGCCAAGAGGAAAGAAAACACCCCAGTGCTGGGGAGAGGTCGTGGAGGCTGAGGTAGCAGCCAGGACAGCAATCACTGAGCTTCAAACTCCTGTTCCAGCACTTGATTCAGTGAAGGTTTACCTCTCTAAGACCCATTAACTTCCTTGCAGGATGCGCTCTCCCAGCTCACATCCAAGCTTTGCTTTATTTGCAGTGAAGCAGAAAGCCCAGCTGATGCTGTGGGGAATGACCCTGCAGAAGTTCCTAGCAGCAGCTGCAGGATCAGCAGAACAAAACACAGCCCATTCAGGGTATTTCACCTTCCCTGCTCTCCTCAGGAGTTCCCAGAGGCGTTTACAGCCCGAGGAGCTGCTAACCATGCCGTGAGCTACAGCAGAGCCCGCTGCAAACCAGAGTCAGGGCAGATCCTGGCAAGGAGCTGGTGAGGATTACTGGCACACAAAAAGGCAGCGAGGTGTGTCTGGTGCAGCAAAGTCATCTGCTGCACAAACTCGGGTGGTGTCAGCGTGCTATGGGTGCAGAGCCAGGTCAGGCTTGGCTCATGGCATGGCACAGCTCCAGCAGCCCCTCCACGGGGTTCTCCTTTCTCCTAAGCACCCCTGCAGCTGAAATGCCTCCTGCAGCACTCCTGGTTCATCCAGAAACAACACTGACTTCAGCAATTGCCTGTTTAACCAGTTACAGCTTGGGATGAAGTGTACAGGGGGGGTTTTATGCAGAGGTATGGCAGGGAGCACACACAGATAAATAGGAAACACTTGGGACGCCCTGCCCTCGCTTGCTGGTGAGTTCCCCAGCCAGCACACTAGCACATAATATGTTTGCTAATATCTGTGACTGTAAATGCTTAATTACAGTCTGTGGTAAGCCTATATTTCAATTGTAGAAATTTCCTACCCAGCATGTGATTTTAATACTCTCCAAAACAGAGGTTTTATAGCATATCTGAGCAGAACACCCCTTACTCACAGACAGGACAATCAATCATCCATCAGCCACAAATCCTGTACCACAAATTCTAATAATTTTATATGCATAACTAACTTATGACAGCCAAAAGAATAAAATACCGAACAACTGCTACTAGGAAACAACAGAATTGGGGATATAGTTAGAGCAGTGTAATGCTATACATGTAAGAAGTAATCAATTCCTTCTGGCCTAAATCAAGAAACAGAAGAAACTAATAAATGCAGTACTGTTAAAATAAAATAATATTGTGGTTCTGTGGGTTCTAGGACTTATTTAATATTATGCTTAAAGAAGTCTCTGGAAAAGGCCATTTATGCTAAAAAGCAGGATTTAAAAAACCAAAACCAACCAACCAACCAACCCCACCCAACCCAAAAATTAACTAAACCAGGAGTTGTCTTTCAAAGAAGGGCAAGGGGAGAGGAAAGGAAAAAAAGGTCTTGTTTGTGTTAAATCTCCCCTGCGCTCCGTTTGCAATTCAATAGTGCCGTGGGAACCAGGAAATGAAACCAACTAGAGACAAAGAAAAATTAATAGTGCACCATATGTTGCCTGTGTTGGATGGCCATAATGAACGTGAGCAGACAGCACACGTGAGGCAGCACCACACCCGGCTGTGGGGGCTGAGAGGAGCCTCTGAGCACCACCACACAGCCACACAAACCCATTCCAGCTAACCAAAGTGCTTCAGTCAACGGGGAATGTCCCCTAAAGGTGTATATGGGGAGTTTGAAATAGGCAGTATCCCAATATCCTCTTTATTTGTAATCACAAATTATCATTTTTCTCAACCCCCTCTTAAGTATTTCGGTTAAAAAATGAACTTGAAATAGAAGCAAAAATTCAAAGGGCTGAGAAGCCTTAACTAAACACACAGGCAGTGCTGCCAGCCCCAAGAGAACCAAGCCCATGGTGCTGGGACAGCCCCCACTCCTTGTCACCAAAACAGAACTGGAAATTTACTAGCCCAGGAATAGCTGCCAAATTTATTTTCCCTAAAATAAGCCCTTTTCAACCCAATGAGGCTCTATAGGAAGAGAAGAACGTGAAGAAATGCCTCTGCTAGTGCAATGACAGATAAGGAAAAGTGCAGCTTGAACCTCTCCTCCTCCTCCTCCTCTGGGGGAAGAAAGGTAGAAAACCAGAAGCACCTCATACCTAATTTATTTTTTAAACCAACCCGCAGCAACTTGGAGGGCACAAATAAAACATAAATTCTCACTCCAAAACCAGCAGGAGAACAACAGATTTGGATGTGGTGGCACAGCCAAAGGCACGTCTGAACATTTGAAAGGAGGAGTTGACACATTTTCAACTATTACCCCTTCAAACAACTATTTCCCCATAAATTTTCTGGTTGCATTGGTAGGAATGCTCATTATTCTACACAAGACTTCAAAGAAAGAAGGAAGCAAGCTATGGTTTTCCCTCTAGCCCCCCTTGTGAGGCAACCAAACCCATATTAAATGCTGCAAACACAATAGATAAGAAAAGCAAGACAGAGCTTTAGAACCAATAAACCCAGTAACATGTTAAATATTAGTACAGCACTCTTTCTGTTAAATAGGCAGACTAAAGAACTCTTTAAAGGGAAAACTCCTTTTTACTGAATATTTTTTGAGTTTAAAATTAGTGCAAGTCCCTTGGGGGACCAAGTTAAACATTTTAAAATTCCCCCCCACAATTTGTCTACAATCACAAAAAAAAAAAAAAAAAAAAACCAAAAATAAAAAACCAAAAAAAACCCCACCAAAAACCCAGCAGCATCTGGTACTGATTTTGTTTCCAGACACACCTCTACCAAAAAATGTGGTGCTTTTGCAAGGACACTGAAAGGCAGGGGAAGGGGAAGTCTTAACTTTGTTGATCCAACAGTAAAATCCACGATACTTACTGCCGGTCCTGGAAAACAAAAGAAAAGCAAAGAAAAAAAGAGTCAATTACAAAGAAAAAGTATAATCTGACAAAGCAACACAAAGCAGGAACCAACATCAGAATGATTTAGAACTCTTCAGTCCAATTCCCACATGATGACTTTGCAGATACACTCAGCACCATCCACACCCTCCTGTTACAGACAGCCCCATCTCACCCGTGCTGCTGGCCCATCTCACACTACTGACCGGGGTGTCAAACCACTCTTTTCCCATCTTTTTCACACTATGATTCTGTTTCCTCTCCCCCCACAAGACCCTGGGCACATCAGGGCAGGGCCCATGTGCAGGCATCAGGGCCTTGGCACCACCTGTGGCCAGCAGGAAGGAGACAGACGTGGCCAGAAATATGTGCAAATTTTTATTAATAAAATCTGTATTTTCATCATGGACCTTATTTATCCTTTGAGTAATGCAGGAGGAGCAGGATATAATCTCACCAAAGCCACAGGAGCAGTGTGGTAGGGACCTGACAAGGGCAGTGCTGCTGCTTCCACAGACCCCAAATGTTCCTGTTGGATGTGCCCACCTCTCCCTGACCTCCAAACAAATCACACAGCCCCACATCCCTGTGTCACCCCCATGTCCCCTGCTTCCCAAATGTTCCTGTTGGATGTGCCCACCTCTCCCTGACCTCCAAACATGTCACACAGCCCCCCAGCCCTGTGCCACCCCTGCCTCGTGTGCCTCAGCTCCACGGAAATGCCCATCACACCCACATCAGGTCTGGGGGCCAGGGGCACAGGCTGAGGCTGGTTTTTTTGAGCAGTAGAAAAAGAAACATTCCCAAAAGTCCCCAGAAGTGCAGGGTGTTCACCACAGCCACACCAATTTCTGCAGTTTTCCCACTGCTTGCCCAAACTGGTGCTGCACTTGAGGTGAGCACTGAGCCCTAATCCAAAGCAATCCATGTTGCACTCCTGTTCATGAGGCAGCCTATAGCTCTGTTTGGGATTTCTTCATGCTCTGACTCTTGCCTGATCAAAACCAGAAACTAGAAACAGAATTAGAAAAGGGGAAAAAAAGTGGGAAAGCTTAAAATGGGGGCAGAAAAATATATAAAAAAAGCTTTGTTCATCTATGTTATTCAACAATATTATTCAAAAAGCATATTTCAAGTCAATGCCTTCTCAAGGATTTTAAAATTAATTTTTAAATTAAAAACATCACTAAGTTGAATTAAATAAAAACCAAACAAGCCTAAGAATGAGGGGTGGCAGCAAGTAATGGCTGGCAGTGCACCAAGAACCATCCACTGACCTGTGTCTGTCACCTGGAGGGGGTCAGTGCCACACAGACATGCCTGGGGCAGGGACAACCTCCAGGCCAGGAGCACAGGGGCTTAACTTGCTCTCCTTGCTTTAATTTCTTCTGGATACAGAAGCTAGTGGCTCTATGCCAATATATTAACTGAGAATCATAAACCTGATTTATTAACTCACTTACACCAGGCTACCCACAAGAGCCCTTTTGTGGAAAAGTCAAGACTTAAGTCTCAAAGAAGTGGGCAGGAAATTATTTTAATATGGGATTTCAATCATGTACCAATTATAATCTCTTTGGAATTTGTTGCCTACTTTCCTTTTCTCAGCTACTGTTTTTTTCCCCCCAACATGCGCAGGCAAGTGCTCTTTGAAAGTGCTTCCTCCTCCAAAATTCAGGAATCCTCAAATGGGGGGTCTGTATATGCACCTTTGGATATTCTCCAGCCCCATCACTGGAGTTACACCAATCTTTCACAGTGCTGTTGGCCAATTGAGGCTAAATAAATCTTCATTAAGGCATAAAGTTAAACCTATTGGACTGATCTTTCCTCCTCCTAAGAACAACATGACTTTCTGGCTTGCTGAATGTGTTTTTCAACAGCCCAGCCACAAGACACTTGTTTCCTATGGAAAAAAGTCAAATATTTTTGCAATTCAACAACAAATGAAGAAGCTGATCCTGTACCCAGGGGCTGCCCCTCATCCAGCCTTCTCATCATTGTGAGCACATTGCACAAGATTTATGCTCTTTTCAAAGAAATTTGCCAGAATTTACTGCTAATAATTTTGACTGGCAATAATCAGTTTGAGAGGCTGAAAGGAAGAATGAAACAACTTGGAAATTCTTCTTACAACAAATAAAATTTGGAAACACCCTTTGTGTACTGAAAACTATGTGACAAATTAACTTGGTGGCTGATTTCAGAAGGAAGAGGAGAAAGACAAAAATAACCTGCAAATGCACAGATTTTGGTCTATGATTGATTTACCTGAACAGGGAGGATGCTGCTGTAACCAGGAGTGAGCACTTTGTGCTCAAGCATGCAAGGGCATGGAGATATTTGGAAACACAAAAAGATTCCTTAAGAACATGCACAGCTGTGCTAGCGGGAGGTGAAAATCAAAACTCATTAAAAATTAATGACCCAGATTTCCTGATTGACCAACTTAATGTTATTTTGTATATCCAAAGCCTGAGCAGGTCACAGCAGCATCATCCCCAGCAGTACACAAACATATGGGAAATGACAGGTCACAGTCATTTATTTCCAAGTATTTTTTCAGCTTGGAAATTTTGGGATAAGATGATATTTCTGTTAAATCTGCAAGTCATTTATCATGCAAGCTCTCCCACCATGAGAGGAGAGAGCCAGGCAGGGGAAACAAAACCAGCCAGACATTTCCAACAGCTCAGGAAGAGTCAGAGGGGATTTTGCTGCAACTCTAAAGGGCAAATAGCCCATCCCCAAGGTAGCAAGCATGCATCTGTGGCCACCTGAAGATGTTAAAAAAAAAAAAAGTAAAAAAAAAATCTACATTAATATATGGCTATGTGTATTTAAACACAAGCATTATGTATATACATACACATAGAGCTATTAATTTGGGATGCTGAAAGGGGAGTAACTGAGCCATGGGTAACAGCAGGTAACAACTGCTGCAGCCATAAGAAGCCAGAGAATCTGGGAAAAGCTGTTTGTCACTGTGTGCTGACCTCTAACTCCTGTCTGTTCCTCAGGGCTGGGGCACAGGAATCTGCTCTCCTAGCAGTGGTTCATTACTGAGAGCCAGATTAGATTTTTCCTGAAGTTCAGCAGAAGAAGTCCTTGGGTATGAGGTTGTCACAGGCAGTTTATAGTGAGAAATAGGGGGAGCAATAGAAATCCCCAAATAAATACAGCTTTCTGTGTGATTTACCCACATGCAACCCCATGTGTACTTAGTCAAAAACAACAACCATGCATTTACACTTGTCCAATCACAAGGCCAATGGGTCTGAAAGCATAAATCTGATATGTAAAATATGGGATTTTAAGTATATATAGGGCTGGGAGAGAAATAAACCTTCCCTGCATAGAAATCACATTGGGATTTTTTCCTTTTAAAAAGCTCTAGATTACTTCTTGTTCCAAATCAGGACATTTGCACAAACAGAACATCTATAAGAAAAAAGCCCTATCAAACAAACAAAAAAACCCCTTTGAATAAATTCTTTGTTAGAAGTCCAAATAAAGGCAACATTTCGGCATAATGTAAAGAAAAAATCGTGAGTGGTGGGCAGAAGACTTCTATCCCATAGCAAAATTTCAACATATTTCCCCAAAAACTGCTTTTGAGATGAAAACATTTTGTAAACAAAACTTTTTATGCCAGAAACAGAAAGTATGCCAAGTCAGGATTTTCCAATGAAAAAACACTTCATCAAAAACATGCCCTCTCTGGCCCACCTGTAAAGGGAATTTTGTGCCAAACCAGACAATGTTTATCCCCCTGGGCTGTAGCTGTGCACAGCTGATGCAAACAGATGCTGCAGAGCACCCCAGCCATCAGCTTTGGGTGTTTGTGTCCTGGGGCAGCTCTTGCTTAAAGTGAGGAGAGCAGAGCCCTACTCAGAGACTTCCCAAGCTGAACATTTCATGTAGATTATCTCCTGGTTTATTTTGAGAGATTTTGAGCTTCAGATCAGTTTTTGGATCAACCAACAAGACAGGGGAAGAAAGCAGAATGACATTCCGAGAGACAGGAACATCATCTCCCACCATCTAGTCGTGCAAAGCCTTTGAACCAATACTTCATCTAAGCTCCCAAATCCTGGATCCTGTTCATCCATCCTTCAGGAACACCCCAGCATGGCTCAATCTTTAAAACAATAAACACAAAGCCCCTGAGGGCTGTGCATCCCTACCCCATCCTGCTCACACAGCACCAGCTGGCAGCAGGAGGGGAAGCAAAACCTCCCAGGTCCCTGGCAAAAATCCGTGTTATTTCACAAACGCTCACTCCAGCAGTTGAACTGTGTCCTCACTGGGACATATCACATTGGAAAAATAAGCTAACATGACATTAAACCTGATTTTGCCTTTGGCAAGGAAAAGGAACTGCATCTGAGATGAGCAGGCTGGCTGTCAGGGCCAATCATGACAGCAAGTGCTACAAAACCTTTCTTCCAACCCCACAGTGAGAGAATGCTGAAAATCCCTCACAAAATTGTATTAAAATGTGTTTTTCTTTCTATACACTGCTTCCATGCGTGGGTGCACATGACTCTTCAAGGCTGTGCTTGCTTTCCAGCTGGAAAAGAAACTGCTGAAGATCATGTGCAGGAATAAGGGTGCTGGGACCCTTGTGTCTGTCCTGGCAGGGTGGGATGGAGCTCAGGATGTGCTGGACCAGAGCAAACAGACAAAGTGACATCCCCAGGAAAGCTGCTGGTGTGAATTTCTGACCCCGTGGTAGCAACAGTGGGATAAGTTGGTTTTTAAAAGTAGCCTCTTTTGCAGTGGTCGTGCCCAGCTCTGGGACTGCTCCTCTGCTGCAGCAGTGATTCCCAAGGGCCAGAAGGTGGAGAGAGTAAATAAAATGGGTTGGATGGAGCCATTTACTCAATTACTGCCTGGTTTGTTCAGCTGGGCTGATGGTGGCAGAAGCACTCCCCAGGTACTTGATCCTTGAGTCTGAGGTCAGGGAAGGGATGACAGGGGGACAATTGTGCCACCACGGGAAGCTGGAGCTGCCACCAGAGATGTGAAGCCCAAAGGAGGCTGGGGTTTAGAGCAGCCCCCTCTGCCCTCCAGGGCCCCAGGGGAAACTTGCTGCCTTTATGCTTCTGTACAGCAAAAAACACTATCAGCCCAGAGGCCAGGCCCCAGCAGGACCCACTGCCTGCCCTGGGCAGGTTCTGGGGACAATGGGGCTTCACCCCATTGCTTTAACAAGTGTTTTTGAATTATGTGCAGCCAGGCTTGTCCCACATCCAAATGGTCTAAATAGTTAACTTTTTTTTGGCCAGAAATGGTTTAAAAATTAATCTTTTATGGTATGGCACATATCTGTGGAAGAGAGCAGTTGTCCCAATGTGTTTTCATGATGATGAATTCTTAGCTTAGAGAAACAGAGCTGTAGGATTAATTTATTTTATCTGAATCCATCATGGCAGAAGAAAAAAGCAAAATTCAGTCTTGGTTTAGATCAACAAGAGAGTGTGATTAAAAGGGACAGGAGTGTCTCTTAACAGTTTCTCTACTTGTTTCTTAGAGATATACATTGAAAGTTTCAATATAATCTGAAAGGGTTTTTCAACATGACTATTTCAACAAAGGCCAAAGAAAAACACTTCCTTTGGCAGGGCTGAGCCTTCTGGCTCTTCAACAGCCTTTGTCTGGAGGCTGTGAAGCCCTAACCAGGCAGGGTCCCTGGGGATGGACACCAGCATGCTACACAAACAAAGTTTTATTCACATTTATCAGCTGTACTGGAGGAACAAGGGCCCAGTTTATGTGTGGTCAGGTTCTCAAACAGATATAGAAATATATATTCAAGTTATCTGGAGAAACAAACATCAGTCAGCTCAGCCAAAAGCAATACACAGCAGGATGCCTCTCCCTGTGTATCTGCAGTGGGGCAGTGCAGGCTCTGCACTGCATTCCTTGGATTTCACTGGGGAGCCCCTTTGAGCCCCAGTGTGTGGCTGTGTGCAGTGGGTGGCAGCTGCACTCTTCTCTACTTTCCTCCACAATTGCAGAAATTTTTAAAAAGTTGTTACTAAAGTTTGAAATTTTTTATTGCCAATAATTAATTTTTTTCTTCTTCTTTTACAATGCTTGTTTTCTTGCTGGCTGTGCATTGATTCTCTGCAGCTTTCTGCTTCATCAGAGGGATGCTCAAGTGCATTTGCAGATGTGTCACAGCACAAGGGAAATTGCTGCTTTTCAAAAGTTTTGCATGAAGCAGGGAGAAGAGATTTAAGTGCATGTGCGAGCTCAGAGTTACCTCCCAGATTTTTGTAGGGACCAGAGACACATCTTGCACAGTGTTTACATAAATGCCTGCATATAAAATCAGACCCATTGGCTGACCTCTCCAGCTGCCCTTGGTAGAATGGTGTATTCCACTGTGCTCCTTAAAGCCCTTAGGTGATATTTTAAAAAAACCCAAGAAAATAATCAAAGCTGTCTGGTGGCTGTTCCTGCAGCCCAGCTGCTGGGAAAATAAAACTAATTAACAAAGCTGGCTGGGATCCACCATCACCCCCTCAGCACCCAGCCCTGGGCCAGGAGTAAATCCTGGATGCTTCAGGAACACAAATATCTCAGAAAACCCCTAATGCACCCAGGAATACCAGCAGTGGAAGTGAAGGGAAATGCCTGCCTGCCTTTCTTGTCCATCAGTCCATGAGTTCAGGTGTTGCTGCTGGTGTGCAGCACATATCCACTCAACTTCCTTTCCTCAGAGTTTAAAAAGTTGTTTAAAATATTGGTGATCAGAAAGTTATGCTGCCCTTTTTGAAATCCCAGTTGTGAATTTTCAATAGCAAGAGCAGCAGAGAATAGAATTCAGCCTCCTCACTAAATGAAATCCACTGGCTCCTGTTCATTCTGTCAGTGTCCAAGAACCTAAGAGCTGGGACAAGTCATTTCATGTGCTGCTTTCTGGCACAGTGAGGCAATCCCAAAATCTGCCTGCCTCTCTGGGCACATCCCAGTCTATTTTCCTGAGAAAGAGCAAGACCAGCTGCATCTCTCCCCTCTCCAGCAGCACTCAGACCCAGCAGCAGGATGTAAACAGCACCTCTCCGCAGCTGAAACAGGGGCAGTCCTTCCCATTGCAGAGACAGGGACAAAGCCCCAGACCTCGCCAGATGCACTGAAGTGACAGGGACACAGAATTACAGCCAGCTCAAATGAAACCCCCAGCAAGGCTGCTCTGTGGTTCCAGCCAGGCTGAGGGCACACTCAGGGCACTCACTGATGCTCAGTGCCCAAGGCTGGTGGCTGAGGTTTGGTCATCCCTGACTCCCAACTGCAGACACCACCACCCCATGGCTGGCAGGCAGCACAGGGGCATGGCCACATGCAGAGACCAAGCCAGTGCACACCTCCCATCCAGCAGGCTGGGGAATTCCCTATTTCCACACTCCTTCACTGTCCCTCTTCAGTGTTGGGTGGGGCAGTGATGAGGCTGAATGCTACAGAGAGAAATGGAAGGATGGATAAAAGATGCAACAGCTGTGGGTGCTTTGAGTGGAACTGGTTTTTTGTTTTGATTGGCTGGTTTCTTCCTTTAAATTTTTTTAAGATTTGTTTTTGGTTTTTAGGGTTTTGGGAGTTAGTTTTGGTTTGGTTTTTTAAAGTTTTTAATAAAACCCTTCATGCCCAGCACACAGGGGTGAGGGCAGCCCCTGTTCCACAGCTGTCAGATGGAGGTGCCATTACCCAAAGGCTCCCACACCCCCCATGACACCCCCGGGGCCCTTGGTGCCCGGGGCAGGTGATGCTTACCAGGTTCCCCACGCCGGCCGGGCTTCCCTCGCCGCCCCGGGGGCCCTGTGGAGGCAGAGAGCACAGGGTTAGTGATGGCCCAAGGACAGCGAGCTCAGGAGAGCATCTGCCACAGGTCCTCCCCTTTGGACCCATCTCATGTCTTCCCCCCTTCCCCAAATCCAAAACAACTTAAATACCACTTTTTTTTTCCCCACAATGTAATTCCAGTGAAAAAACCAAGGCAAGCTGAGAAGCAGGTTTTGAAATTATCAGTATTGTAGATAGTAGAGACCCCCAGATCTAACATGATCCAAAATTCTGGGAAAAATCCTTTGCTGAGCAAGCAGCATTGCTGTGCAGTCCCTGCATGCTACAAATGGCTGTTACAGGTTTGCTAATCACAATATTGAAAGTATTAAAGCAATGATCATGAACCTCTTGATACTAATCATTGTCTGAGTCAGAGCTGGTTCTGGGCAACTGCTGACACAGCCTAAAACTCGTCATACATTTTTAATTTCAGATATAAGACTTGCTGTATTCTTACCCTACTGGGCAGCAATGGTTAAGGGATCAATAAAATGTCGTAAGTGACAAAATACCCTTAATTAAGGAAAAAAAGCACTCAAACAATAAACTCTGATACAGAGTTAAACTCTCTCAGAGATAAACACTGCTCCAGCACACACAGAGCATCCATGTCCCTGGCAAAGCCATAACACCACGTCCTTCATGCCATTGGGTTGCAGCCTCTCTGCTGCAGCCAGCATCCCTTGCCTGGCATCTGGAAGCATCCCTCCTCCCACAACATGTGCATTACCAGGCTGGAAGAAAAAGCTCCTTTTTGCAGCCTCCTGCAGCAGGTCAGCCAGCTCTGGTGGAGTATTTGCTGAGTGACAGCAACATTAACAAAAAGCAAGAACTCACTTTTTATCTGTGAAACAACACTGCTCCCTCTCCTTTCTGCTGGAGAAGGATGATAAACAAAGACCATTAAATATTTCTGTACTCCTATCAGAGTTTCCCCTGTTGCATAAACATTTCTGTGCTCAAATGTGCAACTGCATCTCCAGAATTTCAGCAAAGGCCTGGAGTTCTCCTCTTTGAAGTTGGATACACTGTCCAGCACTCCCCCTCCCCAGCCCACCACAGAGCTCCAAAGCACCCCCTGCCCTCACAGGGGCTCCAGTGGAGCCCAAATCCCACCTGCTCCCTCGCTGTGGGGTTGGCAATCTGCAGACAGGAGCCCTGGGCAGTCACAAATGATTGGTAGAAGCATCTACCACTACTCCCTGAGCAACTTGCTCACAAGTTTCTACAGGGGAGACAAAAAAAATCCCCCAACATATTTGCAGCCTCCTTGAAAGCACATCACAGCCAGGAGAAAGGTTTACTTTTTCCACTCCCAAGTCCAGCTGCTTTGGAGAGGAACCACAGCTCTGATGAAGCACCTTTTCCAACCCTGGAGACCAGTGGTGACTGAGCAATTAAAGCCTCTCTACCTGCCCCACCCTCTGGGCTGATTTTGGGGGTCTGACCTGCAGAGCCTGAGCCTCAGCAGCTTCCAGCCTCCCTCGGAGTGCAGAGGGTGCTTTAAACACCAGCCTTGCTTAATCCTTCCCGGCCTTTCCAAGGACTCTCCCTGGATCTGTTTAATCTAAACTCAGTAACCATTCTGCTTTCCCTCCTGCTGGCAGCCGGCAGAAAGCACAGGCTGCTCCTTAGGGAGGAGGAAAAGCCCTAATGGAGGTGTAGGAGAGGGAGGGCAAGTACCTAAACAAGTGAGTAATGGGTTGGTAATGGTGCCTTCAGGCAGCTTAAAGGAGAGTTGATATCAAAGGGTGGATGAACAGAGTTCCCACATAAAGCTTGGGTTGGAGCCATTCAACTGAGAATGTGAGAAACCTGCAAGAAACCAGAGATTCTGTACAAAAAGGGACATTAATACTAGGTTGGGTTGTTTTTTTTTTTTTTCAGGTTTAAGAAATTTCTTAATTTCTTTCACATGGGAAAAATTGACTTTTGCCTACAGGTTGTCCAGAGAGAAGGTAGATACTCCATCCCTGGAAACATTCAAAATCAGGTTGGATGGAGCTTTGACTGACCTGATCTAAGTGAAGATGTCCCTGCTCATTGCAGGGGGATTGAACTGGATGACCTTTAAAGGTCCCTTCCAACCCAAACCATTTTGTGATCTCATAATTCTTTCCCTACGGTCTTCCAGGAAATCTGTAAAGCGGGTGCAGCACATGGAATTACAAATATATTTTAGAGATATTGCTTGTGGCAAGTGAGATAAACCAAAATTGGGAGAGGAAAAAATTTAAAAACCATTCTCATCTGTTCTACTTGCTGTTTTTATCTGAAAGCAATTTGGTTAAAAAAAAAAAAAAAAAAGCAGCATTTTGGAAACCACATTTAGAATCCTGCTGCTATTCAGTAGCTGGGTAAGGAAATGCTTCTGAGGAGAAAAAAAAAAATTTATGGGAATTAAAAGGAAAAATATCAAACCCAAGAGTTGCAAATTTCAATTATGTGGCGCAGATGGGTGAGCAGGACAGAGACCTCCCAGCTCCCACAGGAGAGGGCAGCGCAGAGGAGCAGCCCAGGAGTCACTAATGCCATCTGCACCCCCAAACTCTGCACGTGTGATAATATCTATGCTCAGAACAATTGGAAATTATTATTGCAGCAATTCCTAGCTTATTCTGGGCTCTCAGCTTTAGATACTGCTTAATGAACCAGGCATAAAGTGAATCCATATTATACCTCTTGTTTTCAACCCCTTTAAGAAACTACAAAAGAAATTAAGGAGGCCTGGGAGTTTGCTTGAAGATGAATGCTCCCTGTAAACTGTTACCTAATGACTCCATCTCCCAAGGCCTCGCAGTCTGATGTTTGTTCACTGTAATTAAGATTCATGTTGCACTAAAGTAAATTGGGCAATGGCCGAGTCTTTTCTTCTAACTGTGCCAGCCCCACTGTATCAGCTCTGGGAGTCCTTTATTTACATTGCTATAAAGAGAGTTTTGGAGTGGAGAATGAATACAAAGCATAACAGTCTATTTTTAAACAACTTGTCACGTTCAAGCTAAACAGCCTTAATTCAGGGCATAATATGCAATTTCTGACAATACCATAAGTTTCCCAGTAAGATGATAGATTTAGTAACCCAAAGACAAAGAAAGAGAATGAAATATATTGCTATTTGAAAATATTATGAGGAAGAGATGATGGATGTATCTAAAGAATAGCTCCTCAGAAACAAGGTAAAAAGTTCATAGTAAACACTCACAATTGCTGGGTAGCAGCCACTTACATCATCTACTGTGGGTAAGTAAATGAAATATTAAAAATCAACATCACTTTATTATTCACATAAAATATTGTCAAAAGCCAAACCCATGTACTTGTCCACAGTACAGTAAATAACCTTTGTTAGAACTAATTTACCCATTGCAAATTTGGCTGCTCAACGACCACCATAATCCATCAACATCAAGGAGAGCAGGCACTATGTGTGCTTAATGTCTTTTTATCCCCTGTAATTAAACCAAGTCTAGTCCTTGACCCATGTTCCCATGGCTGGGAGGCTGTACTGCTGCCTCCCAGCCCTTCAGCTGGATGGATAAATTTCTGCCTGGGCAAATTACTGTTGGGCACAAGGTAAAATCAATGTTTGCCAAGGACAAAGTGAGTTTAAGGCGTTTGCAAGAAAGGGAGTCCAGCAAAACCTCGCTGAATACCAATGCTCTGTTAGATGTTCTGCCAGTGAACCACAATTTAGCCAAGAATTTGTGGCACCAGCTCGTGGCCTTCCCTTCCATTTCTCCTACACATCACCCTTTTCCACTGAGAACACTGAGAGAGGTGTTCCACAAACCTGGGTCCATCTCTTCCTTCAAGCCATGAGGCTCTCAGAGATACTTTTTTTTTTATTATGTTGATCCAAAGAAGTAGTTGAGAACAGCATTCAAGTAAAAACCTTGCCCAAGTGAAATGAAGACCTATCTTAGTGGATCTGGAAACCAGAGGGTTTTTTCCCTTGTAAGCACAACACAGTGAGCTGATCATGTTGTGAAATCTCAGTCATAAATATTAGGTTCTTTTAGGGCCTTATTTTCTAGAGGAACTCATATCTAACACATTGTGCTCTAACATGGGATTAAGTATTACACCAATTTTACACCACTCATGTGGTTGCACTTAAATGCTTTTTTTCCCCTTCTTTTATGAGCTTCAAATGGTTTAACTTGTTTCCCCTTCTTCCCTTTTGGCATTTTTGTAGTTGTTTTCAATATATCAGCATTTTTTTCAGTTAAAAATGAATCAACCAGAAGAATGGCTTGAACAAATTGGTTGGTTCAGCCATTCTCAAGAATAGATTTTTTTTTTTTTTTTTTCATATGGCTTCACTTAGAAGGAAGGAGAACTTTGCAGCAGAGCACCGTGGGGTCTGGTATTGAGCAGGAGGAAGCCACGGCCCCGGCCTAGCTGGCTGTTCCTGCACAAAGGCCAATTTACTTTCTTGTTCCCTGAGGAAAAACATTATGGTTCATGGGCAGAAGTCAGATGCTGTGATGCTTGCTCAGCTGATACTCATCAGGTACTCAAGTCAGGCTGCGGCTCCGAGGCTGCAGATCTGAGATTAAACAGTTTTGGGTCACAACACTTTGCATGAACCTTCCTGGCTTTGGATTCCAGCAGACCCAAAGACTCAAAGCAAATACCAGGTGCAGATTGGAAACACGCAGCACCTACGGTCTGCAGAAGTTTTCCAAATAAAAGAAAAAAAAAGTAATATCTAGATTCATTTCAAATTTGGCCCAAGTGCCCCAAAAGCTCTCTGAAATACTGGGCTACATTATGTGTTAGCAAAAACCACATAGAAAGCAACCTCTAGTAAGCTGGGGAGAGCTCCTTGCACTTCCATACCTGATCCAGTTGCTTTCAAGGTACAAAAGAAGCAAGAAATTGTGTTCATTCTTAGACCTTCAGAAACATTTTCCTCATGATGCACTGGGGAGCTGTGCTCAACCTCAGGGAACAAAACACCCACCTCA